CAAAGCATAATGTTTCCACCTCCATGTTTGACGGTGGGGATGGTGTTCTTGGGGTCATAGGCAGCATTCCTCCTCCAAACACGGCGAGTTGAGTTGATGCCAAAGAGCTCCATTTTGGTCTCATCTGACCACAACACTTTCACCCAGTTGTCCTCTGAATCATTCAGATGTTCATTGGCAAACTTCAGACGGGCATGTATATGTGCTTTCTTGAGCAGAGGGACCTTGCGGGTGCTGCAGGATCTTAGTCCTTCATAGCGTAGTGTGGTACCAATTGTTTTCTTGGTGACTATAGTCCCAACTGCCTTGAGATCATTGATAAGATCCTCCCGTGTAGTTCTGGGCTGATTCCTCGTTGTTCTCATGATCATTGCAACTCCACGAGGTGAGATCTTGCATGGAGCCCCAGGCCGAGGGAGATTGACAGTTCTTTATTTTTCTTCCATTTGCGAATAATTGCACCAACTATTGTCGCCTTCTCACCAAGCTGCTTGGCAATGGTCTTGTAGCCCATTCCAGCCTTGTGTAGGTTTACAATCTTGTCCCTGACATCCTTGGAGAGCTCTTTGGTCTTGGCCATGGTGGAGAGTTTGGAATCTGATTGATTGATTGCTTCTGTAGACAGGTGTCTTTTATACAGGTAACAAGCTGAGATTAGGCGCACTCCCTTTAAGAGTGTGCTCCTAATCTCAGCTCGTTACCTGTATTAAAGACACCTGGGAGCCAGAAATCTTTCTGATTGAGAGGGGGTCAACTACGTATTTCCCTCATGAAAATGCAAATCAATTTATAACATTTTTGACATGCGTTTTTCTGGATTTTGTTGTTGTTATTCTGTCTCTCACTGCTCAAATAAACCGACCATTAAAATGATCCGATGATCATTTCTTTGTCAGTGGGCAAACGTACAAAATCAGCAGGGGATCAAATACTTGTGTCCCTCACTGCATCTGCCCTGCAATTAGTCCTGATCCTAGCCTGGACCCAAGGGCTCCTCCGGTCCTGCCTGCAGGCCTCATCCAGATTACTGTGGGGATGAAATGGACCACGAGAGATTTAGATCCCTGTCCCTCTTGGCTTCTTAAGGGGGCCTTTGAGTCAGTGATCCCTATGGTGACCGAATTAGTCGACAGGAGGAGTGTTCCCGGGAGCCCTGGAACGTGCCTTAGAGCACGACTACTTCTAAAGAAGACGGGACTTGATATCGATATCCTGGCTGACTATCGCCCAATCTGCAATTTTCCCTTTTTCAGGAAAGGTTAATTACAGAAGGGGCGGCCTCCTCCCAGTTGGAGTCGTATCTTGAGGCCGGGTGCTTTTTTTTTTCACTTCGCTCAATCGGGCCTGAGGAACCAATCGTGGCACGGAGCCCGCCTTGGTTTGCGTGGCAGACGATCTCCTCGTGGCGACGGACAGGGGCTGCATTTCCTCCCTTGCTTTGTCGGACCCTGCCGGCGGCCTTTTCATACAATCGATCGTGGGGGTTTCATTGCGGCGCCGACGGGAATCAGGGGCACCGCCTCGCAGTGGATTGGTTCTTATCCGAAGGGCAGGAAACCCAGCGGACGGCCTTGGATCCCGACGTGTCCCCCTGCGAGACCCTAGCCTTACGGTGTCCCTCAGGGGTCGGTCTCTGTTATCTCCCCTTTAATTCAATGTCTAAGTTAGGCCGCCGGGATCTATCATCCGGAGGCATGGGTTACAGGGCCATCAGTACGCCGGATGCAATGTCTCCATCTCAGGTGACCCAGATGCAGCGCTCGCCTGCTTGATGGGGCGTCCGGCCAGAGGGTGGCAGCGTGGACGCAGCAGCAGCAGCAGCACTGGCGAAAGCTGAATCCTGACAAGGCAGAGCTGACAATTGTAGGGTCAGAGAGTCGGCCGAGGATGGGACGGGGGGGTGGGGGGAGCGGGAGGAGCTTGACCCTCCATTGATTAATGGAGTTACGACTTCTCCCTGCGACAGTGGTGCACGAACCTGGGTGTGCTGTCCGATCGTAGCATGACCATGCAATCATCAGGTTGCAGCTGTGGCCAAAAGCGGGGGTTCTATCACCGTAGAGTGATCCGAGGGCCGCGACACCCCCCCCCTCTCGCCCCCCCCCTCTTATCCGCTAGCGATCTCGAAACACCGGTTCGCGTCTCTTTGTCAATGCGTCTGGATCACAGAAATGCTTTGTGTCCGCATGCCTGGACGCTGTTAGCCGTTTTGACCTCTACGATCCACTAATTCACATCCGCTCCATGTGCCGAGCGCTAGACCCTACACCCGGGGGCGACCGAGCCTTTGCGTGCGCTGCGCCAAGACTACGGAACGCCCCCTGCCACCTGAGGTCAGACAGGGCGAGGTCACTCGCATTGCTTGGGTCGCATTCTTTGGATCTTTCAGTAACGTCACGCAGAACAAACATTTTTGCAAAAAAAAACACTGCGACGTTTCGATCGCAACACAAGCAATCGTCATCAGGAGGAAAAAAGGTGTTCTTCTTGTTTAGGTCTTCTCTAAGAAGTCAACTGTTTCGCCTGGCCTACACTTCCATGTATGACCAAGTGGACTCTGGATTTTGCGCCATTCACATTTTCTACCTTCGTGCATGGCGCACTGATATCCTTAAGTGAATTGCGCCTTACAAGTAGTTATTAAATTTTGATTTAAAGCTTTCGTGACTGCAGTAATTCATATTCTTAGTTCTTTCGGTAAAGTCACGTTGAAGGGAAACAACAAAATAATAATATATATATATGAAACAATAAAAAAAAATTCTCACGACGTTTCGACCATAACACAAACGGTCGTCTTCAGGTGTGTTGGCTTGCATAAATTTAAATTTATTTTGTATTGTTTTATATATATTTTATTATTTTGTTGTTTCCCTTTAACGTGACTTTACCGAAAGAACTAAGAATAAGTAGTTATTATTGAAACAAATCCCCCGTGATGTGCACTGGCCACCACCTAGCTAGCGCGTGCAATTTAAGTTAGCTGGAATGACTTATAAAGCTCACAACGGCCTTGGTCCCCCGAACCTGCAGTCCCGTCTGGCCCACCCAGACGTTCCTCGGTCCAGGCCCTGCTAGCTCAACCTACAATTTGTCATTCTACACTGGGCGGCAGTAGATAGGGGGCCTTCTCGAGTGCGGTGCCTTAAGATGTGGAACGCTCTAACGCCGGCCACCCCAGAATGGCTCCGAGCACCGGACAGTTCAGGAGACTCCGTAAGATTATTAAATATCAGGAAGCAGCCGCTTATTTTTACACGCGACCTGTTTTTTTTTATAAGTAGGGGGACTCCCTTCGTTTAATTCATACTGTGAGGTATTGCGATGCCCTCTTTAGTGGGAATGAGTTTTTACTGAAGAAAGACATTGAACGAATGAACGAATATAGACAATGTTAGACTATGAGTAATGTAAGTCTATGGACAATGTGAGTCTATGGGCAATGTGAGTCTATGGGTAATGTGAGTCTATGGGAAATGTTAGTCTATGGGCAATGTGAGTCTATGAGTAATGTGAGTCTATGGACAATGTGAGTCTATGAGTAATGTTAATCTATGGACAATGTGAGTCTATGGGCAATGTAAAGCTATGGGTAATGTGAAGCTATGGGTAATGTGAGTCTATGGGCAATGTTAGTCTATGGACAATGTGAGTCTATGGGCAATGTGAAGCTATAGGTAATGTGAGTCTATGGGCAATGTTAGTCTATGGGCAATGTGAGTCTATGGGAAATGTGAGTCTATGGGCAATGTTAGTCTATTGACAATGTGAGTCTATGGGAAATGTGAGTATATGGGCAATGTTATTCTATGGGCAATGTTAGTCTATGGGTAATGTGAGTCTATGGGCAATGTGAGTCCATGGGCAATGTTAGTCTATGGGCAATGTGAGTCTATGGGAAATGTTAGTCTATGGGCAATGTGAGTCTATGGGCAATGTGAGTCTACAGGCAATGTTATTCTATGGGCAATGTTAGTTTATGGGTAATGTTAGTCTATGGGTAATGTGAGTCTATGGGCCATGTGAGTCTATGGGCAATGTTAGTCTATGGACAATGTTAGTCTATGGGAAATGTGAGTCTATGGGCAATGTGAGTCTATGGGAAATGTGAGTCTATGGGCAATGTAAAGCTATGGGTAATGTGAGTCTATGGGCAATGTTAGTCTATGGGCAATGTGAGTCAATGGGAAATGTGAGTCTATGGGCAATGTTAGTCTATGGACAATGTTAGTCTATGGGAAATGTGAGTCTATGGGCAATGTTAGTCTATGGGCAATGTGAGTCTATGGGCAATGTGAGTCTATGGGAAATGTTAGTCTATGGGCAATGTGAGTCTATGGGAAATGTGAGTCTATGGGCAATGTTAGTCTATGGACAATGTTAGTCTATGGGTAATGTGAGTCTATGGGCAATGTTAGTCTTTGGGCAATGTTAGTCTATGGGCAATGTTAGTCTATGGGCAATGTTAGTCTATGGGCAGTGTTAGTCTATGGGCAATGTTAGTCTATGGGCAATGTGAGTCTATGGGCAATGTGAGTCTATGGGTAATGTGAGTCTATGGGCAATGTTAGTCTATGGGTAATGTGAGTCTATGGGCAATGGTAGTCTATGGGCAACGTTAGTCTATGGGCAATGTGAGTCTATGAGCAATGTGAGTCTATGGGCAATGTGAGTCTATGGGCAATGTGAGTCTATGGGCAATGTGAGTCTATGAGCAATGTTAGTCTATGGGCAATGTAAGTCAATGGGACAACGTTATTCTATGGGCAACGTAAGTCTTTGGGCAATGATCCATTGCTCCAGGAGATCGTCGATCGATGTACGGTCGCTCGATTGGTGATGACAATGACGTCAGTCGTGATTCATGACGTCACAGAGCGGGCCACGTGTAGGCAATTGTAGCTACCATTTTCCACTCCACGCCGCTTCCACCTCTCCCTCCCCTCCCCCACCAAAACCAGCCTCCCCCCCCCCCACGCCATCCTCCCCTTCCCAAGGGCATGGAGTCGAACTCATCGTCATCGTCGTCGTCGTTCGGCCCCGGCACGCTGATCATGATCGCCGGCCTGCTGCGAGAGCCGGCCGGCACGCGGCCGCTCGTCTTCACCGTCGTCCTCCTCCTCTACGCGGTGGCGCTCGTCGGCAACCTGCTGCTGTGCGCAGCCATCTACCGCGACCCGCGCCTCCACAGGCCCATGTTCATCCTGCTCGCAAACCTGGCCATCAGCGACGTCGTCGGCTGCTCCGCCACGCTGCCGCGCATCATGCGCGACCTGGCGGCGCCCAACCTCATCACGGTGGGCGAGTGCGTCGCCCAGGTGCTCGCCATCCACTTCTACCGCGCCCTCGAGTGCTTCGTGCTCTCGGCGATGGCCCTCGACCGCTACGCGGCCGTCTGCAGGCCCCTGCGCTACCACGCGGCGGCGACCAACGGGCGGGCCCTCGCCGCGAACGCGGCGGCCGCGGCGGCCGCCCTCGTCCTGCTGGCGGCCCTCGGCGCGATGGTTCGGCGGCTCGCGCTGCCCGAGTGCATGCGGCCGCCGGCGTCGGCGTCGGCGTCGGCGTCGGCGACGGCGGCGACGATGGAGTCGGCGCACTGCGACAACACGGCGCTCACGGCCATGTCGTGCGTCGACGGGCGCCCCAACAACGCGTACGGAGTCGTCGAGGCGCTCCTCACCGTGGGCCTGTCGCTCGCCGTCGTCGCCTTTTCCTACGGCAGCATCGTCTACGAGGTGGCGGTCGCCGCTCGGAGAGGCCACGGCGGCGGCGGCGGCGGCGGCGGCGGAGGAGGGAGTGGCGGCCGAGGCGGTCAAAGTGGTGGTGGTGTCGGAGGTGGCGGTGGTGGTGGTGGTGTTGGAGCTAGTGGTGGTGGTGGTGTTGGTGGTGGTGGTTGCGTCGGCAGTGGCGGCGGCGGCGGCAGTGGTCCTGGTGGTGGCGGTATTGGAGGTAGCGGTGGCGCCGGAGGTCGCGGCGGCGGCGGCGGCGGCGGCGGCGGCGGCCGCGGCCGCGGCTGCTGCGGTATCTCGACGCCCTCGGCGACGTTCGACCGCGGCCGCGACAAGGCCCTGCGCACCTGCGTGACCCACCTGCTCGTGCTCGCCGTCTTCTACGTGCCGGTCGTCTTCGTCATCCTCTACAACCGCGTGGACAAGCCCGCGGTCATCCCGGGCGCCGTGCGCCAGGGACTCGGCTGCGTCTTCTACGCTGTGCCGCCGGCCCTCAACCCCGTCATCTACGGCCTTCGCACGGGCGCCATCAGGCGAGCCGTCGCCTCCATGCGGCCACCGTGGCTGCGAGGCCCTCGCTGCAGGAGGCTTCGGGCCGCCCCGGTGGTGATGCCGTGGTCCGGGAGCGGTGGGCATGGGTAGCGGGGGAGGGGGGGCGGTGTGGGGTGGCGGGGGGGGGGCGGGTTGTGGGGGGAGTTGGGGGGGTGTGTGATGTTGTCGTGCGAGGTGGATGTGTTACGGGGGGGGACGAAGGCAAAGGTCCGCCCCGTGCAGCCTCTGGGTACACTTTTTGGTGGGGGCAAGCGCCATTAGCGAGTGGCAGAAGCGAAACAGGAAGGACGGGGTTGGGGGGGTGGTTAATGCCTGGCTGGCTGCCTTTGTCTTTCCAGCGCTGATGTTTACCACGCACCGCCGCGCGGCCGCTCCCCATTGCATACGCACTCAAGTAGATGCACAAAGACAAAGATCCCCCGTGTAGCCTGTAACAGAGCGTCGGGGCAAGTGCTGTCGGCGAGTAGCAGCAGCAGCAGCAGCACCTACGAAGGCTACCGGCACTGTGGCACACGAGCTGGTGGGTTGGTGGCCAGCACCACGCCCGGCCGCTTTTGTCTCCCCAGTTGCGATGTTTACTACACACCGCGCCAGGTAGTCATTTGAGGGTTTTGGGTTAGATTGTCGTAAGTTTAAACGTGTCGTTCACCCACCGCCACCCGGCACAGCCACTTGTCACGTGAACAAAACGTACCAATTCGTTATTATTTCAGCACATGGGTGTGATGGCGAGTACACCTACAACATTAGCCATTGAGTACGATGTTTCAAAACGTTACGGTTTGCTCTACCGCCTTCTCCTGGCAGAGCGAGTGGGTACGGCTCCTTGACTCCCACCCACGGGGTAAAAGGAAGTGAGATGGAACAGATGGAGATTAGTCCACCCACGGGATAGAAGGGAGTGAGATGGAACAGATGGAGATTAGTCCACCCACGGGGTAGAAGGGAGTGAGATGGAACAGATGGAGATTAGTCCACCCACGGCGTAGAAGGGAGTGAGATGGAACAGATGGAGATTAGTCCACCCATGGGGTAGAAGGGAGTAAGATGGAACAGATGGAGATTAGTCCACCCATGGGGTAGAAGGGATTGAGATGGAACGAATGGAGATTAGTCCACCCACGGCATAGAAGGGAGTGAGACGGAACAGATGGAGATTAGTCCACACACGGCGTAGAAGGGAGTGAGATGGAACAGATGGCGATTAATCCACCCACGGGGTAGAAGGGAGTGAGATGGAACAGATGGAGATTAGTCCACCCACGGGGTAGAAGGGAGTGAGATGGAACAGATAGAGATTAGTCCACCCATGGGGTAGAAGGGAGTGAGATGGAACAGATGGAGATTAGTCCACCCACGGGGTAGAAGGGAGTGAGATGGAACAGATGGAGATTAGTCCACCCACGGGGTAGAAGGGAGTGAGATGGAACAGATGGAGATTAGTCCACCCACGGGGTAGAAGGGAGTGAGATGGAACAGATGGAGATTAGTCCACCCACGGGGTAGACGGGAGTGAGATGGAACAGATGGAGATTTGTCCACCCACGGCGTAGAAGGGAGTAAGATGAAACAGATGGAGATTAATCCACCCACGGCATAGAAGGGAGTGAGATGGAACAGATGGAGATTAGTCCACCCACGGGGTAGAAGGGAGTGAGATGGAACAGATGGAGATTAGTCCACCCACGGGGTAGAAGGGAGTGAGATGGAACAGATGGAGATTAGTCCACCCACGGGGTAGAAGGGAGTGAGATGGAACAGATGGAGATTAGTCCACCCACGGGGTAGAAGGGAGTGAGATGGAACAGATGGAGATTAGTCCACACACGGGGTAGAAGGGAGTGAGATGGAACAGATGGAGATTTGTCCACCCACGGCGTAGAAGGGAGTAAGATGAAACAGATGGAGATTAGTCCACCCACGGGATAGAAGGGAGTGAGACGGAACAGATGGAGATTAGTCCACCCACGGGGTAGAAGGGAGTGAGACGGAACAGATGGAGATTAGTCCACACACGGCGTAGAAGGGAGTGAGATGGAACAGATGGAGATTAGTCCACCCACGGGATAGAAGTGAGTGAGATGGAACAGATGGCGATTAATCCACACACGGGGTAGAAGGGAGTGAGATGGAACAGATGGAGATGAAATCTTGACTTAAAGCTTTCGTGACTGCAGGAATTCAAATTCCCTGGGTCTTTCGGTGAAGTCCACGCAGATAGGTTTAAAGAAAATAACAACAAAACAAGCCCGACGTTTCGATCGCATCACAAGCGGCCGTTATCAGGAAAAGGGGGTTCGCCTCTAAAGGCAAAACTGTTTGTGAAGGTTCAAAATGGGCGTAGCCCCAGGTGTCAGCAGCATGACCGGGGCAGCCAATGTTAATGTAAGTGGTGGTGCTGGTGGGTTTACACCAATTAGCGTGCTACTGCTAGTGGTGATGGCAGTAGTTGGCAGTGATGGTGTAACTACTCTTTGGTTTTTTCAGTAAAGTCACGTATAAATAAGTTATAATAATAATAATAAAAATAAAATTGCATAATAGTATACATACGACGTTTCGATTGCAACGCAAGCAATCATCATCAGGTATAGAAGAGCTAAATTTAAGAGAGAGAGAGAGAGAGGAAGCGCAGAGAGATGGAGAAGCACATCAAATTGAGAAGAGCTAAATTTAAGAGAGAGAGAGAGGAAACGCAGAGAGATGGAGAAGCACATCAAATTGAGAAGAGCTATATTTAAGAGAGAGAGAGGAAACGCAGAGAGATGGAGAAGCACATCAAATTGAGAAGAGCTAAATTTAAGAGAGAGAGAGGAAACACAGAGAGATGGAGAAGCACATCAAATTGAGAAGAGCTAAATTTAAGAGAGAGAGAGAGGAAACACAGAGAGATGGAGAAGCACATCAAATTGAGAAGAGCTAAATTTAAAAGGGAGAGGAAACGCAGAGAGATGGAGAAGCACATCAAATTGAGAAGAGCTCAATTTAAGAGAGAGAGAGAGGAAACACAGAGAGATGGAGAAGCGCATCAAATTGAGAAGAGCTAAATTTAAAAGAGAGAGGAAACGCAGAGAGATGGAGAAGCACATCAAATTGAGAAGAGCTCAATTTAAGAGAGAGAGAGAGGAAACGCAGAGAGATGGAGAAGCACATCAAATTGAGAAGAGCTAATTTTAAAAGAGAGAGGAAACACAGAGAGATGGAGAAGCGCATCAAATTGAGAAGAGCTAAATTTAAAAGGGAGAGGAAACGCAGAGAGATGGAGAAGCACATCAAATTGAACAAGATTTAGAAATTTAGTAATCGAACAAGATTTAGTGATGGTGTAAGCCCACCACGGGGACCGTCACTGCCCACTGCTACCATCACCACTAGCAGCAGCCCAATATTGGTGGAAGCCCACTGCCAGTGCCGTCATTGGTCCTCTACGAGTAATGGGGCTACGCCCATTTAAAACAAAAACCTTTATAAACACTTTTTGCCTTTAGAGGCGAACCCCCTTTTCTCGATGACGACCGCTTGTGTTGCGATCGAAAAGTCGTAGTTTTTTTTGTTACTTTAGATTATTCTAGATTTGAAGCTTTCGTGACTGCAAGGATCCATACTCTTTGGTTCTATTCGGTAAAGTCACGTAGGTAAAAAATAAAACAATAAAAATCACGACGTTTCGGCCACAACACAAGTAGCCTTCTTCAGGTGAAGGAACAGAACTGTCGGGACGAACAGAGCTTCAATGAACGCTGCTAAGATTCGTAGCGTCTTTTAAGCTGGGTGAGAGAAGTGAGGCACCTTGACAAAGGAGTTTACATTTCAAACAGGAGAATTTAGCATTGAAATAGCTGAGGGATTAGCTTGTGACTGGTCTCAGAAATAGCTATGTTGAAGTCAAAGCCTACACATCCACAGAGGCACCTAGTACATGGACGCCAAAGGGGCTGCACTACCCAACTATCATACAGTAAACCGATGTGAAAAAACTAAGTCTAAATTATATCAATATAATAAATGTACTCAAACTTTCGCAGCTCTTAAAATTCCCTTTTCACACCATCGAAGTGTATACCCAGTTGCTGTTAATAGCTCGGCTTATTGAAGAATATATTGAGTACATTTATTTTATTGATGTAATTTAGACTTAGTATTTTCTCATCGGTTTACTGTACGATAGTTGGGTAGTGCAGCCCCTTTGGCGTCCATGTACTAGGTGCCTCTGTGGATGTGTAGGCTTTGACTTGAACATAGCTATTTCTGTGACCAGTCACAAGCTAATCCCTCAGCTAGTTTAATGCTAAATTCTCCTGTTTGATATCTAAACTCCTTTGTCAAGGTGCCTCACTTCTCTCACCCAGCTTAAAAGACGCTACGAATCTTAACAGCGTTCATTGAAGCTCTGTCGTCCCGACAGTTCTGTTCCTTCACCTGAAGAAGGCTACTTGTGTTGTGGCCGAAACGTCGTGATTTTTGTAGTTTTATTTTTTACCTACCTGACTTTACTGAATAGAACCAAAGAGTATACTTTAGGTTAGTCCAGCCACCCTGCCGCTGTACACCGCCTTCTACCTGGCAAAGGGTCACGGCTCCCTATCCCCCTCGACTCGTACCCACGACAAAGGGAGTTTTTTTTTACGCACCCATCCGTCGGTGATCCACCAACCCCCGCCGCTGCTGCTGCTGCTGCTGCCACCACAACATCGCTGAATCGCAGTCAGTCACGTGGGGGTGGCATAGCCACAACTGACACTGCTGCTGCTAGCCCTCCCACCTCTATCACAGCAATGGTTATGCCTACATCATCATCACCACCACCATCGCCTGTGTCCCACCCCCCCCCCCGACCCCCCTTCTCCCCCCAAGCAGACACTGGGTGGATATCCCCAGCGGACGCTCGGCTGATCCGGTCACCGGGTGTGAGGGAGGTTAATAAATAAATAAACTCTCCCCGGGCCGGGCAATTTGGGAGACGCAAACCAATTTGCGCAAATTGCCACTAATCTGCCGTGTTAATTGTATGGGGGGCGGGGGGCTGGGTGGGTGGGTGGAGGTGGTGGTGGGAGGGGAGGGTGGAGGTGGGGTGGAGATTGTTAGGCGGG